TGTTGACCAGGATGGTCTCGATCTCTTGACCTCGTGATCCACCCGCCTCGGCCTCCCAAAGTGCTGGGATTACAGGCTTGAGCCACCGCGCCCGGTTGAGACAGTGTCTTGCTGTATTGCCCTGGCTAGAGTGCAGTGGTGCAGTCTCGGCTCACTGCAACCTCTGCCTCCTGGGTTCAAATGATTCTCCTGCCTCAGCCTCTCAAGTAGCTGGGACCACAGACACACACCACCACCATGCTTGGCTAATTTTTGTATTTTTAGTAGAGACAGGGTTTCACCATGTTGGCTGTGCTGGTCTCAAACTCCTGACCTCAGGTGATCCACCTGCCGTGGCCTCCCAAAGTTCTGGGATTACAGGCCTGAGCCACCACACCCAGCCACATCCACAGATTTTTATAGAACAAACAGGTTGGCGACATGTACTTTCAAAGGTGCATGGTGAAGTGCTTCTGGTCGGCTCTGGTATCTTGCAGTTGTACAATTAATTATTCCCCTTGAAATTTTTGGGATGCCCTTGTGGTCTGGATAGTAGGGCGAACAGAACAAAGAGATTCTGGGGGGAATAGAAAAAAATTTGTCAGGCTGGGCACAGTGGCTCACACCTATAATCCTAGCCCTTTGGGAGGCCAGAGTAGGAGGATCACTTGAGTCCAGGAGTTCGACGCTGCAGTGAGCTGTGATTGCACCGCTGCACCCCAGCCTGGGCAGCAGAGCAAGACACTGTCTCAAAAACAAAGAAAAAAATCTGCTAGAATCTGCCTGCTCCTGGCAGGTGGGGGATGGGAGTGGTTAGTAACTGGGAAAACTTCTGGAACAGGGCCCCGTCCACATGGTTCTGGCCCAAGGCCCCGCGTGCTGACCGGCCCTGCACAGCACTCCAAACCTTGCACTATCTCCTTCCCAGGGTCCCTGCAGGAGCTGGTGTCCCACATGGTGGTGCGCTGGGCCCAGGAGGACTTTGTGCAGAGCCCCGAGCTGGTGCGGGCCATGTTCAGCCTCCTGCACCGGCAGTACGACGGGCTGGGTGAGCTGCTGCGTGCCCTGCCGCGGGCGTACACCATCTCGCCGTCCTCCGTGGAAGACACCATGAGCCTGCTCGAGTGCCTGGGCCAGATCCGCTCACTGCTCATCGTGCAGATGGGCCCCCAGGAGGAGAACCTCATGATCCAGAGCATCGGGTGAGAAGCTGCCCTGACCCCTTCTCTGCTTACCCCCTTGGGTAATGGAGGCCCTCAGGATACAATAACATTCCCTTCCCCAACTTCTGGCCATCCTCTGGTTGACCTCCATCTCCTGGCTGCTAGCCCACCTCCCTGGGTAATGTCTCCTTCCCTTACCTCTCCACCCTCAGCGGTAGCAGCTCCACTTACTGTGTGACTCTCAGCACGACGTTCACCCTTTGTGTGTGTGTGAGACAGAGTCTCCCTCTGCCGCCCAGGCTGGAGTGCAATGGCGCCATCTCAGCTCCCTGCAACCTCCACTTCCCAAGTTCAAGTGATTCTCCTATCTCAGCCTCCTGAGTAGCTGGGATTCCAGGCACACACCACCATGCCTGGCGAATTTTTTCTATTTAGTAGGGACAGGGTTTCACCATGATGGTCAGGCTGGTCTCAAATGGCTCACCTCAGGTGATACACCCGCCTTGGCCACCCAAAGTGCTGGGATTAGAGGCGTGAGCCACCACACCTGGCCAAGGTTCCTTTTTGAGCTTCAGTTTCTTCATCTGTAAAACGGGGCAGATCCAACCCTGCTCCAAAGGGTTGTGCTGTGGCTTCAGTGAGCTCGTGCGAATAATCATCATCGTGGTAGTAGCACTGAGCACTCAGTGTCAAATGTGTCTCATTCACGCAGTAAGCATTTATTAAGCACCTACTGCATGCCCAGGCCCTTCTAGGTGTTTTTGAGATAGGGTCTCACTCTGTTGCCCAGGCTGGCGTGCAGTGGCCCCATCATAGCTCACTACAGCCTCAACTTCCTGGGCTCAAGTGATCCTCCTGCCTCAGCCTCCTGAGTAGCTGGGACTGCAGACACACACCACCATGCCCAGCCTATTTGTAAATATTTTGTATAGGCAGGGTCTTGCTATGTTGCCCAGGCTGCTCTTAAACTCCTGGGCTCAAGTGATCCTCCCGCCTCAGCATTCCAAAGGGCTGTAATTACAAAGTGTGAGCCACCATGCTGGGATGACATTTGATGAAAGGCAACATGGCAAAGATCTACGCCCTAGAGGAGCCTGCCTTGGGTGCATGCCTCAGTCTCCCTATCAGTGAAACAGGGACCATTCCTACCACAGTGGCTATAGGAACTATTGTTTTTGGTTTGTTTGTTTGTTTGAGATGGAGTCTTGCTCTGTTGCCCAGCCTGGAGTGCAGTGGCACAATCACTGCTCACTGCAACCTCCACCTACCAGCTTCAAGCGATTCTCCCACCTCAGCCTCCCGTGTAGCTGGGATTATGGGCGTGCGCCACCATGCCCGGCTAACTTTTGTATTTTTACTAGAAATGGGGTTTCACCATGTTGGCCAGGCTGATCTTGAACTCCTGACCTCAAGTGATCCTCCGGCCTTGGCCTCCCAAAGTGCTGGGATTACGGGCTTGAGCCACTGAGCCCAGCCAGCTGAAGGAACTGAGTGAGTTCAGATCTGTAAAGGGAGTGGTACCAGGCACAGAGTGAGAGGGCCAAGAATGCCAGCTGCCATCACAGAGGTGGCTGTGGCACCCCCCAGACTTGGCCCCACGGCCCCTGGTGACCCTGCGCACTCTGCTTGTCTACAGGAACATCATGAACAACAAAGTCTTCTACCAACACCCGAACCTGATGAGGGCACTGGGCATGCATGAGACGGTCATGGAGGTCATGGTCAACGTCCTCGGGGGCGGCGAGTCCAAGGTGAGGGCCCAGTGGGCACTGGGGAGCTCAGGGGAGGGGTCCACAGAGGGCAGGCCCTGACCACTGGCCCACCCTGCCTGTCCCAGGAGATCCGCTTCCCAAAGATGGTGACAAGCTGCTGCCGCTTCCTCTGCTATTTCTGCCGCATCAGCCGGCAGAACCAGCGCTCCATGTTTGACCACCTGAGCTACCTGCTGGAGAACAGCGGCATCGGCCTGGGTGAGAACCCCTGTGCTCAAGGGCTGTCCCCCAGAACCCACTCCTGGCACCCCGTCCAGGCCTGCCCCACTCCCCACCAGCTCACTCGCTCATTCAGTCATTCAACAAACACTCCCTCTCAACCATGGCTCTGGCCCTGTAATGAGTAATGCTGGGGACAGAATAGTGACCCCAGTAGTGACAGCCCAGAGTGGTCAGGGCTTGGATGAGGGAAATACAGACCAGAGGAGGCATCTGATCCAGGTTGGAAAACGAGTGGTCAGGGAGGGCTTCCAAGAAGAGGTGAGACAAGGAGGAATGAGACTTTCTTTTTTTTTTTTTGGGGGGGGGGTTTTTTTTTGTTACCCAGGCTGGAGTGCAATGGCGCGATCTCGGCTCACCGCAACCTCCGCCTCCTGGGTTCAAGCAATTCTCCTGCCTCAGCCTCCTGAGTAGCTGGGACTACAGGCATGCGCCACCATGCCCAGCTAATTTTTTGTATTTTTAGTAGAGACGGGGTTTCACCATGTTGACCAGGATGGTCTCGATCTCTTGACCTCGTGATCCACCCGCCTCGGCCTCCCAAAGTGCTGGGATTACAGGCTTGAGCCACCGCGCCCGGCGGAATGAGACTTTCTTACCACCTCTCACCCCACAGGCATGCAGGGCTCCACACCCCTGGACGTGGCCGCTGCCTCCGTCATTGACAACAATGAGCTGGCCTTGGCATTGCAGGAGCAGGACCTGGAAAAGGTGTGGAGGGCAGGGCTGGGCCCTGGGCCTGGGGGAGGAGATTGGGCCCCACGTGGCTGCTTGGGACACCTCCTGATTCTGAACTCATTCTTGGGGGCAATTCTGGATTATCGAGTGCCCAACCAGAAGGAGATCCAGTTGCTCATTCATGGGAAGCTTCCTGGCTGGGGGCAGGTCCACAATCCATGCTTCCTGGCTGGGGGCAGGTCCACACTCTAGGCTTCCCTGGTGGGGGCAGGTCTGGACTCCATGTTTCCGGGCTGGGGGCAGATCCGCACTCTAGCTTCCTGGCCAGGGGCAAGTCTGCACTCTAGCTTCCCTGGTGGGGGCAGGTCTGCACTCTAGCTTCCCTGGCTGGGGGCAGGTCTGGACTCCATGCTTCCGGGCTGGGGGCAGATCCGCACTCCAGCTTCCCTGGTGGGGGCAGGTCTGCACACTAGGCTTCCCTGGTGGGGGCAGGTCTGCACTCTAGCTTCCCTGGCCGGGGGCAGGTCTGCACTCCATGCTTCCGGGCTGGGGGCAGATCCACACTCTGGGCTTCCTCGGTATGTGGCCTTGGCACATTTCTTGGCCAAGTGTACAGTAGTGAAGCGCCTGGGCTCCAGAATGCAGCAACTTTGCTTCTGCTCCCCTCACTCCCTGGCTGTGTGGCCTTGAATAAGTGACGTAGAGTCTCCGGACCCCTGTTGCCTCATCTGTACAACGAATGTAGTCATAGAAATGACTTCATGGAGTCATTCTGAGGATTAAATGAGTGAATCCAGGAAAGCATCTGTAAAGGGGCATAACAGCAAGCTGCTGTTACATTATCATTCAACAAATATGTGGTGTTCACATACCATGTGGCAGGACCTGTGCAAAACAGTAGTAATATGTCAGTCCGAAATCCCTGTCCGGCCGGCCAGAGTAGTCTTTACTGTAACCTGTCTCATCAGCAGGGTCTTTCTGACCTGTATCTTGTGCCACCCTCCCATCTCACTCTGTGACTTAGAATGCCTTGACTGTCTGGGAACACAGCTCAGTAGGTCTCAGCCTCATTTTACCCAAACCCTGTTCAAGATGGAGTCGTTCTAGTTCACATGCCTCTGACAGGACCAGGGCTAACTGGCCAAGGGATCAGAGCTGAACCAGACCAAGGACCCACAGGGCAGAGCAGAGGGCTGAGCCCGGGAGGCCAGTAGCTTGGGTCTGGTCTCTAACTGACCCTCTCCTGCCCCCAGGTTGTATCCTACCTGGCAGGCTGTGGCCTCCAAAGCTGCCCCATGCTTGTGGCCAAAGGGTACCCAGACATTGGCTGGAACCCCTGCGGTGGAGAGCGCTACCTGGACTTCCTGCGCTTCGCTGTCTTCGTCAACGGTGAGGAGGGGGTGGCAGCGGCAGGGCGGGAAGTGTGGGGCCACAGGTCACCCCACAGGTGGGGTCCAGGCAGGGATCCCTTCCAGCGGGTCTGGGGCTGTGTTACCCCTGGAGGTGTTGGGTCCTGGGCCAGCGTGGAGAGGTCTCTGATGGTGGCTCATGAGTCCACCTGTCCCCACACGGGAGTCCAGGTGAGAGCGTGGAGGAGAACGCCAACGTGGTGGTGCGGCTGCTCATCCGGAAGCCCGAGTGCTTCGGACCCGCCCTGCGGGGTGAGGGTGGCTCAGGGCTGCTGGCCGCCATTGAAGAGGCCATCCGCATCTCCGAGGACCCCGCGAGGGATGGCCCAGGCATCCGCAGGGACCGGCGGCGCGAGCAGTGAGTCTCCTGGCCCCCTCCTCAATACGGCAACCCGCCCTCCCCGGCCCCTGGCTGCCTCCCCCACCCACCCACCTTCCCTGCAGCTTTGGTGAGGAGCCGCCTGAAGAAAACCGGGTGCACCTGGGACACGCCATCATGTCCTTCTATGCTGCTTTGATCGACCTGCTGGGACGCTGTGCACCAGAGATGCATGTGAGACCCCAAGGCAGGGCGGGATGGGGAGGGAGGCAGGCACAGCAGCCTCGAACGCCTCAAGCAGGCACTTGGTGGCCTTGAGTGAGCTCCCATATGTGGGTGGTCCTGGAATAGCAATGCTGGGGACACAACAGTGACCAAGACGCCCCAGGCCCTGGTCTCACAGAGCTCCCAGTCCAGTGGGGGAGACAGACAGTGACACCCAGAATGGCCAGGGCTGGGATGGAGAGCACAGGGAGAGGGGTCGGGGCCAGGATGGCGGGGCACACAGAGGGGTCAGGATGGGGATGGGGTCACAGGGAGAGGGGTCGGGGCCAGGATGAGGGGTCGCAGGGAGAGGAGTCAGGATGGGGATGTAGGGGTACAGGGAGAGAGGTCAGGCCTGGAGTGGGGGGGGCACAAGCAAAGGGGTCAGGATGGGGATTGAGGGGTCCAAGGAGAGGGTTCAGGGCTGCACAGGCAGAGGAATGAGGGCTGGAAACTCTAGACAGCCCCCTAGAAAGAGGCCTGCTCTACCCTCTTGTGTCATAAGGGAGGGAGTGGAGCAGCCACTGAGTGGGACACCGGCACCTGATGAGTGCCCCTCGCCCTCCCCCCATTCCCCAGCTGATCCAAGCTGGCAAGGGTGAAGCCCTGCGGATCCGCGCCATTCTCCGCTCCCTCGTGCCCTTGGAGGACCTCGTGGGCATCATCAGCCTCCCACTGCAGATCCCCACCCTGGGCAAAGGTGCGGAGGGGATGGGACTTGGCAAAGGAGCGATAGTGGGGAGGGAGACGCTGGGTCTGAAGGGCATCCCTGAACCCGCCCTCCCTGCAGACGGGGCTCTGGTGCAGCCAAAGATGTCGGCATCCTTTGTGCCGGACCACAAGGCGTCCATGGTGCTCTTCCTGGACCGTGTGTACGGCATCGAGAACCAGGACTTCTTACTGCACGTGCTGGACGTGGGGTTCCTGCCCGACATGAGGGCGGCTGCCTCGCTGGACACGGTGAGCAGCCCCGCCCAGCCTGGCCACCCTCCCCGCCTCCACAGAGGGACAGAAAATGGGTCACGGTAGAGCAGAAGCAGCTGCTTTTGTTTTTTTTGGGATTGTGGACATATCATAATCCCCAACACCATCAACAAGACAGAAAACAAAAACCAAGAGACACTCTGAATTCCGATGGAGGATGAGTAGGAATCTCCATGACCTCTAGTTATAAGAAATCATCGTTCAAGGCCGGGCTCGGTGGCTCATGCCTGTAATCCCATCACTTTGGGAGGCCGAGGCAGGCAGATCACAAGGTCAGGAGTTCAAGGCCAGCCTATCCAACATGGTGAAACCCTGTCTGTACTAAAAATACAAAAATTAGCCGGGTGTGGCAGCATGCACCTGTAATCTCAGCTACTCGGGAGGCTGAGGCGGGAGAATCGCTCCAACCTGGGAGGCAGAGGTTGCAGTGAGCCAAGGTTATGCCACTACACTCCAGCCTGGGTGACAGAGTGAGACTCCATCTCAAAAAAAAAAAAAAAGAAAGAAATGTTCGCAGTGTTGGTGTAGCACTGCAGACATGTAGACTTGGTACAGCAACAGCAATAACAGAAGGTGACAGAGCAAGGACTAGGAGTACGGAGAAGTGGCCACCGATTTAGCAAAGTCAGGGTCACTGGAAACCGGGATGAGCAGTTTCAGCCGAGGACAGAAGCCTTCCTAAAGAGGGTTTAAGAGAACCTAGGGCTAGGCATGGTGGCTCACCCCTGTAATCGCTTGGGGAGGCCAAGGTGGGAGGATCACTTGAGGCCAGGAGTTCGAGACCAGCCTGGGCAACATGGAGAGACCCTGTCTCTACAAAAAATTGTAAATATCAGCCCAGCGTGGTGGTGCACACTGAAGAGGCTAATATGGGAGAATCACTTGAGGCATGGACATTGAAGCTGCAGTGAACCGTGACTGCACTGCTGCATTCCAGTCTGGGCGGCAGAGCAAGACCCTGTCTAGAAAAAAAAAAAAAAAAATTAGCCAGGCATGGTGGTGCGTGCCTGTAGTTCTAGCTACTAGGGAGGCTGAGGCAGGAGGATCACTTGAGCCCAGGCGTTCGAGTGAGCTATGATTGCAGTGAGCTATGATTGCACCCCTGCACTCCAGTCTGGGAGACAGAGACCCCTGTCTCTAACAAAATAAAAAGAACACATTACAGGAAGAAAGGTGAGGGTTAGAGAGGAAATAAGCTTGCAGACCATCGATATTTACAGAAGAGCCAAATCTGTAATGGGATTCATTAATCTCATCCACCAGTGCCTGAACTCGTGTGTGTTTGAAATTTTGCATAGTCCAAAGTAATAAGTAATGGGGTGAGGGCTGTGGGCGTAGGGGCGTGAGCATAGGGTGGGAGGAGGGTGGTAGAGATTGGGAGGAGCAGGTTTTGGGGGAGTGATCAGAACCTGGATCCTTTGGCCAGAGTCGTTCAGGGCAGGTGTCAGAGCAGCAGCAGGGGTGTGCAGCGGGCCTGATGTCCTCACTCTGCGCCCTAGGCCACTTTCAGCACCACCGAGATGGCGCTGGCGCTGAACCGTTACCTGTGCCTGGCCGTGCTGCCGCTCATCACCAAGTGCGCGCCGCTCTTTGCGGGCACGGAACACCGTGCCATCATGGTGGACTCCATGCTGCACACGGTGTACCGCCTGTCCCGGGGTCGCTCGCTCACCAAGGTGCAGCGCGACATCATCGAGGACTGCCTCATGGCGCTCTGCAGGTGAAGAGTGGAGTGGAGTGGGGTGGGGTGGGGTGGAGTGGGGTGGGCCCCAGGGCGGGGAGGGGGTGGGGCGCAGAGCAGGCCTGGAGGGGAGGTTCCACCATCCTGCGCACGGTCCCGCAGGTACATCCGCCCGTCCATGCTGCAGCACCTGCTGCGGCGCCTGGTGTTCGACGTGCCCATCCTCAACGAGTTCGCCAAGATGCCACTAAAGGTGAGGACAAGCGCTGTTTAGCGGCTCGTTTCCAGGCCCCACCCACTGGTTTGCTCTGCGCTCTGACTGGAGGGCTCATTTGTGTCGGCACTGCCCAGCCCAATTAACCTGCACTACTTAGGGTGGCGTCCCCACAGAAACCTCTTAGCATCCTTATTTGCATACTACGATTCCTAGGACATTCACTTTGCTTCATTGATGCCGCTAGCATTCCCTAATTAGCATTTAATTTGCCTAACAGTGAGCCAGCCCCCCACTTCAATTAGCATATATTTGCATGGAGCACACCACTTTCCCTAATTAGTGTGTTTATTTGCATGCCTAGACCACCAGACTTCCACGATTCAAATGAGTGCATTTATTTGAATAAACATTACCACAGCTATTCTGAATATTTGCACACTCTCTTATTTTTAAATTTGCATGCTAATTTGCATAAAGAGATACCCCAACTCAGATATCTTGATATTTTGCATAATACATTGAAATCAGCTCCTATTTCAAATTTGCATTTTAGCCAGGCATGGTAGCTCACGCCTGTAATCCCAGCACTTTGGGAGGCTATGGTGGGAGGATCACTTGAGGTCAGGAGTTCGAGACCAGCCTGACCAACATGGTGAAACCCCATCTCTACTAAAAATACAAAAATTAGCTGGGCGTGGTGGCTCACACCTGTAATCCCAGCTACTTGGGAGGCTGAGGCAGAGAAATGCTTGAACCCAGAGGCGGAGGTTGCAGTGAGCCAAGATCATGCAACTGTACTCCAGCCTGGTCAACAGAGTGAGACTCCACCTCAAAAAAAAAAAAAAAAATTTTGCATTTTGGATAGTGGAGGCCCTCTTCCCAATTACCATATATTTGCATGGGGTGCAGCCTGTGTTTCTATTTGGCATGTTAATTTGCATAAGCACAGATCGCTGCATCCATATGCCCATTTGCTCACTGCGCACCCATGGATTAATATTGGCACGCTTATTTGTGTAAAGCAACACCAGACACAACCAGCTGTAGTTTAATGCCCATCTGACTCTAAGAATGCCTAAATTTGCATACTAAGCTGTCTAGGACCACTCCTCAATAAACATACCACTTCTGCTATTAGCATATAATTTGCATAACCCACACCTCCTTCAGAATTTAAAAGCACTGGCATGCCTGTGTCTCTCTGGGCCTTCGTTTGCCTGGCATCCGCTGGTGCCCCCCCCCATTCGTGTGTCTCCCTCTTGCTCCCACCCAGCTCCTCACCAACCACTATGAGCGTTGTTGGAAGTATTACTGCCTACCCACAGGCTGGGCCAACTTTGGGGTCACCTCGGAGGAAGAGCTGCACCTCACGCGGAAACTCTTCTGGGGCATCTTTGACTCTCTGGCCCATAAGGTCTGGGCAGCAGGGAGCCCCAAATGGGTCTATGTGGAGGGTTTGGGGCTCAAAATTGGGGATCCAGAGTGAAATCCCCCAATTTTGGGGGGTTCAAGGTGGAGAGGGTTCTGCATATTTGGATCCAGGAGAACCTATGGCTTGAGGGTTCAGTGCAGAGGTCATGGAAGAGAGGGTGGCCTCTAGTTTGGCAGCTTGGAGAGGAGCAAAATGGGGGTGATTTGAGCATACAGTTGGGTCTGAGATTTGGGTTTCAAAGAGAGGGACCATAATTCATTTTCGGGGACTCAGGGAGGAGGGTTGATGATTGCAATGTGTGAATTTGAGGTCCTGGGGCTCAGTAAGGCTTGTAAGGACCTCCTACCACTAGTCCACCTGGCTTTCCCAGAAATACGACCCGGAGCTGTACCGCATGGCCATGCCTTGCCTGTGCGCCATTGCCGGGGCTCTGCCTCCTGACTACGTGGACGCCTCATACTCATCTAAGGCGGAGAAAAAGGCCACAGTGGATGCTGAAGGCAACTTCGATCCCCGGCCTGTGGAGACCCTCAAGTGAGGCCTGGGGCTGGGAGACAGGAAGATTTCAGGGGTGGAGGGAACCCCAGCCCCAACATCTGCTGCCCTATGCCCCCAACAGTGTGATCATCCCGGAGAAGCTGGACTCCTTCATTAACAAGTTTGCAGAGTATACACATGAGAAGTGGGCCTTCGACAAGGTAGGCCTCAAGGTCCTCCTAACCCAGAAACGCTCAAGACTCCGGCTTCCCTCCACCCTCCGAGCCCCATTCTTCCTTGAGGCCCCAGACCTCCCTGAGACCCTACCACACCTTCCCTAGGACCCTTAGCTCGTTCTGGGATCCCCCAGGATACTCTGTCCTCGGTTCCCCCAGGGTCCCCCTCTGTCCCCAGGCTGCTGCCTCCCCCTCCCCCTGCCTCCACCTCAGCCTGCCTCCTCTCCATCTCTAGATCCAGAACAACTGGTCCTATGGAGAGAACATAGACGAGGAGCTGAAGACCCACCCCATGCTGAGGCCCTACAAGACCTTTTCAGAGAAGGTGACCAAGCCTTGGGGCCCCGCATTGGGGGTCAAAATGAAACCCCCAAATCTGAGAGTTCGGGGAGGAATGAGGCAGCTTCACAGGTTTGCATCTAGGTGAATCTGTGGGTTGGATCTCCCCATTCATGGACTTTGCGTTCTCTGAAACTTGGTATAGTAGGGAGAGTCCAGGAGTGGGTTTGATTCCTTGGCTGAAATAAGACTTCTCGGGGACTCCTGTATCTAAGGAGATAAGGAGATACACATGTATCTAATTGGATAAGGAGACTCCTGTATCTAATGGGATAAGGCCATACAGAGCCTCCCAAACCGGAGGGTTTGGGAGACTCTGTTACAGTACAGGTAAGAGACTTGAGTTCAAATCCAGGCTGGACCACTGCCTAGCCACGTGGCCAGGGTTTTCTCCTTTAGGGTCCTTCCTCCACCACCCTCTTGCCCCATTCCACCAGCTTCCCACCCTCCTGTCCACCCCAGGACAAAGAGATTTACCGCTGGCCCATCAAGGAGTCCCTGAAGGCCATGATTGCCTGGGAATGGACAATAGAGAAGGCCAGGGAGGGTGAGGAGGAGAAGACGGAAAAGAAAAAAACGCGGAAGATATCACAAAGTGCCCAGGTGAAGCCCGGGCCTGGGGGGAGGGCAGGGGCACAAGGTGGGGAGGGTCTAGAACAAGGGGCATGGCCAGGGGAGGGCACGGCCAGACAGACGGGTTGGAGAGGAGAGGAGCCAAGGGAAGCAGGTGGGGCCAGAGAGGGGTGCAGAAACCTGAGAACTGGGAAAGAAGAGGGCAGGGGTCTAGAGAATTGCAAAGGGCAGAGGCGAGAAGGATGGGGTGGTTTAGAGACAGACCTTGAGAGGACACGGGGTCTTGAGCCAGGGGAGGGTGGAGGGGGTAGAACAGGCTAGTGGGGCCTGGGGAGGAGCTGTGTTGGGCTTCCTGCTAGCCCATCAGCCCACCTCCCATCTTCCTCTCGTCCTCTCAGACCTACGATCCTCGAGAAGGCTACAACCCCCAGCCCCCCGACCTTAGTGGAGTTACCCTGTCTCGGGAGCTGCAGGTGAGAGGCCTGACCCTTTTAAGGGGACATGGGGTGTCTTTGGTAGGGGCTGGCATCCTCTGAATCTAGCCCTTGACTCTGCATCCACTCCCAGGCCATGGCAGAACAACTGGCGGAAAATTACCACAACACGTGGGGACGGAAGAAGAAGCAGGAGCTGGAAGCCAAAGGTGAGGGTGCCCATGCCACCTCCACGCGACCCCCGTGGCTTCACCGTGTGGCTTTGCTGATTGCCTTCATGTCCCCTGAAACTCGGTTTCTCCATCTGTAGATGGGAATAATAACAGCGTTTACCACCGAGGGGTCGTGGGGAGAATGAGGGGGGCACCAACAGGCAATGTGTCCCTTATTTGTGTCTTCATCTTTATTACGATAATTATACACATGCCAGGCACTGCAGGAACCACTTCAGTGAGAGTAGCCTCGGCCTTCCCCAGAGCCCTGATTTCTGGTCTTTGCCTCCCCAGGCGGTGGGACCCACCCCCTGCTGGTCCCCTATGACACGCTCACGGCCAAGGAGAAGGCCCGAGATCGAGAGAAGGCCCAGGAGCTGCTGAAATTCCTGCAGATGAACGGCTACGCGGTGACAAGGCACGAGGGTTGGGACCCCAGCGGAAGAGCAGCGGGCTGAACCTGGCTAGGCCAGAGAGGGATGGAGCCGAGAGGGGCTGGGCCGGGGGAGCCTAAATGGAAACAGAGGGGCGGAGCTAAGGGAGTGGAGCCTGGACGCAGAGGCGGGGCCAGATGGGGAGGAGCCCGAGAGGGGCGGGGCTTATGGAATAGAGGCGGGGCCAGAGAGGGGCGGAGGCCGAGAAGGGCAGGGTCCGGGGAGCAGAGGCTGGGCCAGAGAATGGAGAAGACTAACGGAGGCGGGTACCGGTGAGTGGAGGCGGGACCAAAGAGAAGAGAAGCTGAAAAGGGTGGGGCCCGGGGAACAGAGGTGGGGCCAAAGAGGAGGAGGCTGAGAGGGGCGGGGCCTGGGGAGCAGAGGCGGGACCAGAGAGGGGAGGAAGCTAAGCGGGGTGGGGCATAGGGAGCTGAGAGTGGAGCCCCAACCTGGGGTGAAGCCAAAGCTGGTAGAGACAGGGCCAGCAGGAGCAGAGGCGGACCTGAGAAGGGTGGGAAACGGTAGGGCTTGCATCTGGGCTGATTAGGCTCTCCACATCCCCACGCAGAGGCCTTAAGGACATGGAACTGGACTCGTCTTCCATTGAAAAACGGTTTGCCTTTGGCTTCCTGCAGCAGCTGTTGCGCTGGATGGACATTTCTCAGGAGTTCATTGCACACCTGGGTATGGAGAATGTCCCCCACTTATTCCCGCCCCACGTGCAGACACCAGTTCTGCAGACCAGACTCACCTAGGACACCCCTTCATGCACTCATCCGTCCTCTCCTTATCTGATGTTTATTGAGCCTCTACTGTGTGCCAGATACTGTTCTAGATGCTGGGGTACAGCAGTGAAGATGACAGTGACCCCTGCTCTCCTGCAACTACTCTTGTGTTGGATTCAGGCAATTCGTATCATAGATAACTAAATCCCTTAGTGTTCGAAGGTGATTAGCGTTATGGGAAGAAGAAAAGAGTAGAGCCAGATAGGGGAATTGGGAGTGTGGAGCCAATTGTAATTTTAAATGGGGTGTTTGGGGAGGACTTTGATGAGAATGTGACATCGAGGCAAGCCATGAAGGAGGTGAGGGAGAAGCTGTGTGGACCTCTGGGGGACATCTGTTTCTTGCAGGCAAAGGAACAGCAAGTGCAAAGGCCCTGAGAGGTCCGTGACATAAGTGTCAGGATGCTCTGTGGCTGAAGCAGAGTCTCGAGGGGGACAGTGAGATGAACGGGGTCACAGAGGTGACTGGGGCAGATTCATGCAGGGCTTTGCAAGCTGTGATGAGGACTTTGACCTTAACCTGGAGTGAGTGGATTTGGGGGGAGGTGCCTGAGCTGAGGAGGGACGTGATCCATAATTCTGGTGTTCACAGGGGCCCTCTGGCTTGACTGGGGTGGGGACAAGAGCCGAAAGGGATGAGAACTGGGCAGATTTTGGGATCTACTTTGAAGGCTGAGGCTGTTGGGATGCCCCCAATGCCTCTTAGAGGCCACTAAGAATCACAGCTAGGCCGTACAATCTCCTCCAGTTTCCCCTAGAGAGCCCCAGCATTCCCCTTAAAAGTTACCCCCAGCAACCCCCAAATTCCCTCCAGGTGAGTGGCAGAGCAGGATTCGCTGCTACGTCTCACCTCAAAGCCTGCCTGCTGAGCTTCAGTGCTGCACACCTTCTTCGCAATTCCCTTCCCTCTCTAGACCTCCGTTTCCTCACCTGTGACATGGGCATATGTGCACCATACTAGCCATGGTTCTGTCACTTACTGGGTGACCTGGGGTTAGTTACTTCACCTCCTTTTCTTCATCTGAAAAATGGGGGCTGGGAACCAACTGCACAGACATCCAAGTTGTAAGGAGACTGTGCAAGGATGACATGTCTCTCCATGCCAAGGACATAGCAAGTGTTTAATAATTGGAGTCAATATTAGTATTTTAATAATATCAGTTACTACTATCACCTTTATTATTGTTTGAAATTGATTTCCATTTTAAAGTTAACTCCAATTTGTTTACATTGACTTCTTGTTTCATTTGGTTCATTCATTCATTTATTGCAGATTAACTCAGTGCCAGGTATTCAAGTTAAGAATGAAAAGCACTTGTGGTGGGTGAGGAAGGGCATGTTCCATGACCTTAACCCATTCCAGTTTGTTCTCTCCATTTACAGCTTCAGGAGGGGTTTGATCAAGGAGTTGTCAGCTTCAGGAAGGGTTTGATCAAGGAGTTGTCAGCTTCAGGAAGGGTTTGATCAAGGAGTTGTAGGAAAGCACTTTGGGAGGACAAGGTGGATGGATCACCTGAAGTCAGCAGTTTGAGATCAGCCTGGACAACACGGTGAAACTATGTACTAAAAATACAAAATTTAACTGGGTGTGGTTGTGCACACCTGTAATCCCAGCTACTTGGGAGGCTGAGGCAGGAGAATTGTTTGAACTCAGGAGGCAGAGGATGCAGTGAGCTGAGATGGTGCCATTGCACTTCAGCCTGGGCGACAAGAGTGAAACTCCATCTCAAAATAAAAAAGGGGGGGGGGGGGGAGTTGGGGGAATCAGATGAAAGGTAGGGGAAATGTTTATCTCATATCTCAAAGCCAACACAAATGACTTTATGCCAATAATTTATCCCCCATTTTCCCACTCTGCTCCCAGTGTCCTGCCCCTCAGAACACCCTGGGTTCCTCAGCCTTGAACCCACCGTGAACCCTGTTTGCCCTCCCTACAGAGGCTGTGGTCAGCAGTGGGCGAGTGGAAAAGTCCCCACATGAACAGGAGATTAAATTCTTTGCCAAGGTGAGAGGGAGGCTCAGAAGCTGGAGGGAGCCGGGCACTGCGTGGGCTCTCCACCCCTCACCGGACCCTTCATCTCCTCTGCACCACCCCAGATCCTGTTGCCTTTGATCAACCAGTACTTCACCAATCACTGCCTCTACTTCCTGTCCACTCCGGCCAAAGTGCTGGGCAGTGGTGGCCACGCCTCAAACAAGGAGAAGGAAATGATCACCAGGTGGGCCGCCTGTGACCCCAGACCCAGCCCCCTGACCTCACTGGATTGTAATCCTTCGCCTGTAGAGGCTCTGTCCTGGTTGCTGGGTGCTGGGTGCTGACCGTCTCCTGCAGAGGCGATTGAAGGACTAGGGTGACCAACCACCTTAGTGTGCCCGGGAGTGAAGAGTTTCCCAGGATGTGGGACTCTCAGGCGACTTAGGACAAATCGATCACCCTGTCAGGAAGACAGACTCAAGGCCAGGCGTGGTGGTTCACCCCTGTAATTTCAACACTTTGGGAAGCTAGTGTGGGAAGAGCACTTGAAGCCAGGAGTTTGAGACCAGCATGGGCAGCATATCGAGACCCCATTTCTACAAAAAATACGAAAATGGGCTGGGTGTGGTGGGGCGTGCCTGTAGTCCCAGCTACTTGGGAGGCTGAGGTGGGAGGATCACTTGAACCTAGGAGCTGGAGGCTGCAGTGAGCTGGGATCACGCCACTGCACTCCAGCCTGGGTGACAGAGCAAGACCCTGTCTCAAAAAACAAACAATAATAAGAAAGTCCGACCTGTCCCACACCTCCCCAGCATCCCAGTTACTGCCTGCGACTTTCCAGCTTGCCCTTCTGTCTGCCTCTCGCCATCCCTCCTGTCTCCATCGTTCTGCCTCCTCCCAGTTCCTCTCCGTCTTCTCTGTCCCTGCCTCCTCTAATTGGGTCGTGCTGCCCTTTTCTCCTTGGCCTCCTCACTCCCTGTTTCTCCTGCCTTTTGTCCCTTTCTCTTTCTTCAGCCTCTTCTGCAAACTTGCTGCTCTTGTCCGCCACCGAGTCTCTCTCTTTGGTAAGTCGCTCCTCTCCCCGGGTCCTCTCCCTAATCTGTCTTCACCGCGCTGAAGAAATAGCTCCCAGTTCTGCCTTAACTTGAATAACCTTTGCTGTGTCCTTCCCCTGGACCCAGAGACTTGGACAGGGTATGCCGGGGGCAGGGCAGTGACTGAGATGCCCTGGGCCTGCCCTCCTGGAGCTCCCAGGCCAGTGAGAGAGATAGACCCATCTCCAGACCAGGACAGCCCAGTAGGGTCAGGGCTGGGCTGGAGGAAGGGCAGGAGAGTGGTCGGGGACAGGGAGGAGGGGAGTTGGGAGGTGCTGGAGGAGTCCAGGCAGGGGTGGGGGTGCCGTGGCATTCCAATGCAGCCAGCGGGCAGCTCAGGAAGAAAGGGGTGGGGGTTGGATGTAGAGGGAGACACTGTCCTCTGTCCTCTTACTCATGGCTTCCCCTGGCCCATCTTCCTCCCCCAGGGACAGATGCCCCAGCTGTGGTCAACTGTCTTCACATCCTAGCCCGCTCCCTGGATGCCAGGTAGAGGGCCCTGGGCGGCAGCACCCACTCTCACCCTCATTGGGCCCCACCCCAACCCCTGGGCTCCCAGACTCTCCAATTCCAGAGTGGTGTCCCCGCCGCCCCCCTAGGACGGTGATGAAGTCAGGTCCTGAGATTGTGAAGGCTGGTCTCCGCTCCTTCTTCGAGAGTGCCTCGGAGGACATCGAGAAGATGGTGGAGAACCTGCGGCTGGGCAAGGTGTCACAGGCGCGCACCCAGGTGAAGGGCGTGGGCCAGAACCTCACCTACACCACCGTGGCGCTGCTGCCCGTCCTCACCACCCTCTTCCAGCACATCGCCCAGCACCAGTTCGGAGATGATGTCATCCGTAAGGGCGCCTGACCCAAGGGCAGGTTGTGGGGAGTCAGTGTGGCCAACACCACCCATCCCGGTGCCCGTGAGAGTCGCTGGGTGTTTGGGTGTGTGGATTTTTTGCTGTAGGCAAAGCATGCAGGCAGGTGGCAAGTGAGTTAATGAGGACGTAAGCTCAGCAGCTCTAAGAGAAGACCCTAACTGGACTGGCGCAGCAACTCACAGCCGTAACCCCAGCACTTTGGGAGGCTGAGCCAGGGGGACTGCTTGAGCTCCCGAGTTCGAGACCAGCCTAGGCAACATAGCAAGACCCCATCTCTACTTAAAAAAAATAAATAAGATTAGGCAGGCATGGAGGCACATGCCTGTAATCCCAGCTACTGGGGAGGCCGATGAGGGAGGATTGCTTGAGTCCAAGAGTTGGAGGCTACAGTGAGCTGTGATCATACCACTGCACTCCAGCCTGGGCAACAGAGCAAGATTCTGTCTCTATCATAAATAGATAAATAATAAAATAGGGTACTTGATTTTAAAAAAGAGAATCTATCGATAAAGATTAAGAAAAGTAACACTTGGCCGGGTGTGGTAACTCACAGCTGGAATCCCAGCACTTTGGGAGGCCTAGGCAGCCAAATCACTTGAGACCAGGAATTTGAGACCAGCCTGGGCAACATAGTGGGACCCCATCTCTAAGTATATATTTAAAAAAAAATTTTTTTTAAAGACAGTCTCACTCTGTCGCCCAGGCTGGAATGCAGTGGTTCGATCTTGGCTCACTGCAACCTCCGCCTCCCGTGTTCAAGCGATTCTCCTGCCTCAGATGCCTGAGTAGTTGGGATTACAGGTATCCGCTACCACACTCAACTAATTTTTGTATTTTTAGTAGAGATGGTGTTTCACCATGATAGCTAGGCTGGTCTCGAACTCCTGCCCTCAGGTGATCCGCTCACCTCAGCCTCCCACAGTGCTGGGATTACAGGCATAAGCAGCAACACCCAGCCCAAAAATGTGTATATATTAAATAAAATGAAAAGGATAGCCTAAAATTGAAGCAATATTGCAGGTCTATTTACATTTTTCTAGAGGAAGTGCCCCTCACTTTCATTATAGAGGGCCACTCCCCTCCAAGGAAGAAACAACATCTAGCCTTTATTGAGTGCCTACTGTGTTCCCCATTCTAGTGGCTTTCCAAGTAGTAACTCACTGGGTCCTCACAACCACCCCGTGAGGAAGGTACTGTAATTATCCCCATCTCACAGGTAGAGAAACTGAGGCTGAGAGTTGGTAACTTGCTCAAGTCATAAGACTGTAAATGGCAGGCTGGCTGTACAGCTGCTTGCTCTTACCCACTGCACGGGCCTGTTTGGAGACAAAGGAGGTAGGGTGGGGAGGGGTCGTTTTGTGGGCGCACCCCACAGCCTCGCCCCCCATCTCCCTCAGTGGATGACGTCCAGGTCTCTTGCTACCGAACGCTATGCAGTATCTACTCCCTGGGAACCACCAAGAACACTTATGTGGAAAAGTAAGGAGAGAGAGCCACAGTTTGGGGCTGGGTGGGGCTGGAGGGGAAGGGAGGGAGTAGGGGAAAAAGATGGGGTGGCTGAGAAGCAGGGCGGATATTCACAATCTTCCCGCCCTTGGCGGCAGCCGCAGTTCCCCAAGGCGGCCGCATGAGGGCGCTCGAGGACAGGCCAGCCACAGAGGTAGAGCCGCCGGGTCTGGGGCCGGGAAGCCGGTGCTTGCGGGCCTCACTGGGGAAGAAGGGGAAGCGCAGACACGGGGGCGGCACACAGGAGCCACGCAACGCTGGGGGGCCCTGGGGAGGGCCCCTGTCAGTGGCCACGTGACCTCTCCTGGGCTGAGGCTGTATCCACCAGCACTGAAGTTATTCAGATTTCAAAAAGTGACACCCGCGGTGTGTGGTGGCCCACACCTGTGAGCACTTTGGGAGGCTGAGGCGGGAGTAGCACTTGGGCTCAGGAGTTTGAGACTAGCCTGAGCAACATAGTGAGACTCCATCTCTACAAAAAAAAAAAAAAAAAATCTTTTTTAATGAGCTGCGTGTGGTGTGGTGGCGCTGGCGGCTACTCCTGAGGCTGAGTTGGGAGGATCGCTTGACCTCAGGAGTTTGAGATGTGGTCTCTACAAAAATGACTTTTTTTAAACTAGCTAGGCATGGTGTGGCATGTGCCTGTAATCCCAGCTACTTGGGAGGCTGAGGTGGGAGGATCGGTTGAGCCCAGGAATTTGAGGTTGCAGTAGCCAAGATCAGCCCACTGCACTCCAGCCTGAGTGACAGGGCGAGACCGTATTTAAAAAACAAAACAAGTGACGCACAGGGGTGTTGGCAGCTCTGCTTCAAAGGGTTCTGGGAGGAGCTGTTTCTGTGGAGATGTGGCTGGGACCCAGGACCCCAAAGAGGGGGACACATGGCAGCTAAACACAGCCCCCTCTTCCAGGCTTCGGCCCGCCCTGGGGGAGTGCCTGGCCCGTCTAGCAGCAGCCATGCCGGTGGCATTCCTGGAGCCGCAGCTGAATGAGTACAACGCCTGCTCCGTGTACACGACCAAGTCCCCTCGGGAGCGGGCCAGTAAGCTGTGTGGGGCTGGAGCAGTAGGGAGAGCCTGATTTGGGGGTAGTGTGTCTGGGCTGGGCCGTGAGCGGGTGTGGCTTCCCTGGGTTGGGAGTGCCACACATTCAGGAATCCCAGAGTTTACGGTTTGGTGGCATTTCAAGGGAGTTACATGAGGAGAATCAGATCAATATGATTTTATAAAAGAGAATCTATTGATAAAGGTTAAGAAAAGTAGCACTTGGTGGCTGGGCGCAGTGGGTCACGCCTGTAATCCCAGCACTCTGGGAGGCTGAGCTGGGAAGATTGCTTGAGTCCAGTTCAAGACCAACCTGGACAACATAGCAAAACCCCATCCAAGGAATTTGGAGCTATGGGATTTATTTTAGCAATGGTGGCATCTGAGGGCATCATCAAGCTTGGAGACATAGGGTGAGGGGTATTTGAGTGTGAGAGGATTGAGGGAAGGCATAGGTTCATTCATTTATTCAGCAAATACGTACTGAGCACTTACTATGTATGAGGCGCTGTCCTAGGCACCTGAGGTTCAGCAGTGAACAGGCAAAAATCCCCTGAGTTCTGGGTCCAGAGGCTAGAATGAGGCGGGAACCTTGGGGGAACACACGCTGTAGGGCAGGAAGCTTGTCTCCTTGGTCAGCTGAGCTCCCAGAAGGGCACCTGGCGCAGAGTCAGCGAGGGAGCCAGTGATGCACTGTCTGTTTCAAGGGGCTGAAGCAGGTGTGGGATTCAGAGACAAGGCCAGGCGACAGGCTGGCGTTGGAAAAGGTTTCTTTTGGAGTATGCTGTACAGCAGGGGTGAGGGGAATGGGCTTGGATGTGGGAGATTTTATGAGGGAAGCTTTCTAGGGGTGAGATTTTAGGGAGCAGACAGGCTTGGGGGTGCGAACTGTTTGCAGGAACCACTGAGTGTCAGTGTGAGGGGTTGGAAGGGGTGATGAGAGGAATAGCGTTTGGGGCACTGGTTTAGGGCGTGGCAATTCAATGGTGTCTGATGTATTTTGGGGGGCCAGAGCACTGAGGTCTGGGGGTGAACGACTCGACATTCCTTGCCCCCCTCCCTGTACTCCAGTCCTGGGGCTCCCCAACAGCGTGGAGGAGATGTGTCCTGACATCCCGGTGCTGGAGCGGCTCATGGCAGACATCGGGGGGCTGGCCGAGTCAGGGGCCCGCTACACGGAGATGCCGCACGTCATCGAGATCACACTGCCCATGCTGTGCAGCTACCTGCCGCGCTGGTGGGAGCGTGGGCCCGAGGCACCCCCTCCCGCCCTGCCCGCCGGTGCCCCCCCACCCTGCACAGCTGTCACCTCTGACCACCTCAACTCCCTGCTGGGGAATATCCTGAGAATCATCGTCAACAACCTGGGCATCGACGAGGCCTCCTGGATGAAGCGGCTGGCTGGTGGGTCGGGGGCGCTGGGCCTCTGAGGGGTGGGCCAGTGGCCTGGGCTCCCTCACCAGAGGGTCTGAGAGGGAGATCCGAGGTCCATGGTCCCCTGGGAATTGGGAGGAGTCAGAGTGTAGGTTTTTTCAGGGTCAAAAGGCCAGGGGTCACCTGGGCACAGTGGCTCACGACTGTAACACCAGCACTTTGGATCAGTTGAGACCCGCCATTTCAGACCTGCCTCGGTAACACAGCATGACCCCATCTCTTTAAACAACCTTTTTTAAAGTTAGCCAGGTGTGGTGGCACACACCTATAGTCCACCCCAGCTACCTGGGAGGCTGAGGCAGGAGGATCACTTGAGCCCAGGAGTTGGAAGGTGCAGTGAGCTGCGATTGCACCAGTGCACTCCCTACACTCCAGCCGGGGTGACAGAGTGAGACCCTCTCTCAAAACAACCAAACCAACGAAGGAAGTCAGGCAGGGAGGGAGGGGCAGGTCCCCAAAGCGTTAGGTTTCTAGATTCAGAAGTGTCTCGTCAGAGTCAGGCACAATGGCTCACACGTGTAATCCCAGCACTTTGAGAGGCCAAGGCGGGTGGTCTCCCTTGAGACCAGGAGTTCAAGACCAGCCTGGCAACATGGTGAAACCCGGTCTCTATTATTAAAAACAAAAAAGTTTTGTGTAAGGAAACAGTTTGTGGATCAGGGTCAAGCTAGAAATCAGCGGCTGGGATCAGAGGCCAGGGTCAGGGGTCAGAGGCTGGTATAAGAAGCCCATTCACGACCTTGGAATCATAGCCAGAAATTACATAGTGAGGTAAGAGTTTGGGTGTGGGCCAGGTCAGAGGCTAAATGTTGGGGTCCGGGGTCATGCTGATTAAGGGTGAGGTAACAGGCCAGGGGCGGTGGCTCATATCTGTAATCCCAGCACTTTGGGAGGCTGAGGTGGGCCGATCTCCTGAGGTCAGGAGTTCGACACCAGCCTGGCCAACATGGTGAAACCCCATCTCTATTAAAAATACAAATATAATATTTGTTGGGGCAGGAGAATCACTTGAACCAGGGAGGCAGAGGTTGTTGCAGTGAGCTGAGATTGTGCCATTGCACTTCAGCCTTGGCGACCAAATCAAAACTCCATCTCAAAAATAAAAAAGGGGAGGGGCAGTGGTGAGGTAACAGGTGAGGCTTCAGTTGTTGAGGGTCAGAGGTCAGAGATTTGTGCCAGGCTGGGGTCACAGGATAGGGCCGTAGGTTCAGGTCAAGGGTTATGTCCAAGGTCAGGGTCAGCGGCTGGGTCAGAGCTGTTCGGGAGTCATGGGCTGGGAAGGGAGGTCAGGGCCTGTGTCGGAGGCCCAGGGTGGCATCGAAGCCTGCTACACCCCTGCAGTGTTCGCACAGCCCATCGTGAGCCGCGCACGGCCGGAGCTCCTGCAGTCCCACTTCATCCCCACCATCGGGCGGCTGCGCAAGAGGGCGGGCAAGGTGGTGGCCGAGGAGGAGCAGCTGCGCCTGGAGGCCAAGGCCGAGGCCGAGGAGGGTGAGCTGCTGGTGCGGGACGAGTTCTCTGTGCTCTGCCGGGACCTGTATGCGCTGTATCCGCTGCTCATCCGCTACGTGGACAACAACAGGTCAGCGGCACCCCACTGTCCCCACGCCCTCCGCCCCGACCTTCCCAGTCCTTCAGCGCCATCTGACTGTTTCCTCACTGGCTAGAAACGTCTTCCAGTGCTCCGGCCCCAGTGCTCTGTCTTCCAACGCGCTGTCCAGTCCCCACGCCCTCCGCCCCAGCCTCCGTCCCGAATCCTCCAGCCACATCTGACCCCGCCTCCTGACTGGCTAGAAGCGCCTTCCAGTGCTCCGGCCTCACCAACCTTCTGACCCTCCCTCCTGGTTTCTTCTGGCTTTGACCACGTTGGCCCAAAGGCTCCCAGCCCACTTGTTTGTTTGTCTTTTGAGATGAAGCCTCACCCTATTGCCCAGGCTGGAGTGCAGTGGCATGACCTGGGCTCACTGCAACCTCCACCTCCCAGGTTCAAGCGATTCTCCTGCCTCAGCCTCCCGAGTAGCTGAGATGACAGGCGCCCGCCACCGCAACTGGCAAATTTTTGTATTTTTAGTAGAGACAGTTTCACCATGTTGGCCAGGCTGGTCTCGAACTCCTGACGCCTCGGCCTCCCAAAGTACTGGGATTACAGGCGTGAGCCATCACACCTGACCAATGTGAGGTTCTCTATCATTCTCCTAATGCTGGACACTTAGATTGTGTCAATTTCTTTGTTACTATGCGCAACACTGTAAGGAACAGTTTGCTTTTTCTTTTTTTGAGCTCTGTTGCCCAGGCTGGAGCACAGTGGCGTGATCGCAGCTCACTGCAGATTTGACTCCCGGGCTCAAGCAGTCTCCTTCCCTCAGCCCCAGAATAGCTGGGATTACATGCTCACACCAACAAGCTCGGCTAATTTTTCTATTTTTATGGAGTCTCACTCTGTTGCCCAGGTTGGGATTACAGATGTGAGCCACCACACCTGGCTGTGTTTTTGTTTTTACATAACAATACACCATGAAAGACCTATAGGCCAGGCGTGGTGGCTCACACCTGTAATCCCAGCACATTGGGAGGCTGAGATGGGCAGATCCTCTGAGATCAGGAGTTTGAGACCAGCCTGACCAACATGGTGAAACCCCATCTCTACAAAAAATACAAAAATTAGCCAGGCATGATGGTGGTTGCCTGTTATCCCAGCTACTCGGGCGGCTGAGACAGAGAATCACTTGAACCCGGGAGGGAATCGCTTGAACCCCGGAGGTGCAGGTTGCAGTGAGCCGAGATCACACCACTGCTCTCCAGCCTGGGCAACAGAGCAAACCTTGGTCTCAAACAAAACAAAACAAACAAACAAAAAAACAATGTAAATGTTCATCTGAATGGCCAGATGACCCTAGAAAACCCCATCCCTCTGACTGGATGACTCCTGGTCCCCATCTCCTCCTCTAAGGTCTCTCTCTGGGCGGCCCCCTTCCCTGGGATCCCCACCCCTCCCTCACCAGCCCCCTCCCCTGACCCCAGGGCACAGTGGCTGACAGAGCCCAATCCCAGCGCGGAGGAGCTGTTCAGGATGGTGGGCGAGATCTTCATCTACTGGTCCAAGTCCCACGTGAGTGCCCACCCCGACCGCCCTCCCCACAGCCAGAGGAGCCGCAGCCCGCAGGCGCCTGCCTTCACCTGTCCCGTCTCCAACTCTGCTTTCTCCAACAGAACTTCAAGCGCGAGGAGCAGAACTTTGTGGTACAGAACGAGATCAACAACATGTCCTTCCTGACTGCTGACAACAAGAGCAAAATGGCTAAGGTGGGGGCTTGGTTCTGGGAGGAGCACTTGGCAGAGGGCGGGAGCACCCTCTAGGGCTTCCTACCTGGCTCGCCCTTACTCAACCAGCCTGTCCTGGGCGCATTCCCTGCAGCCCCCAGAGCAGCCCCTCTTGTCCCCTCCCTCCTCCCCAGCTCCTTCCTCCTCCTGTATCTTCTCCCTCCTCCCATCTCCCTCCTCCCCCTCTCCCTCTCCCTTCCTCCCCAGCTCCTTCCTCCTTCTCTGTCTTCTCCTTCCTCCTATCTCCCTCCTCCTCCCCCTCTCCCTCTTCTCTCATCCCCATCTCCTTCCTCCCCCATATCTTCTCCCTCCTCCCATCTCCCTCCTCCCCGTCTCCCTCTCCCTTCCTCCCCAGCACCTTCCTCCTCCTCTATCTTCTCCTTCCTCCTGTCTCCCACTTCCTCCCTCTCTCCCTCTTCTCTCATCCCCATCTCCTTCTTCCTCCTGTATCTTCTCCCTTCTCCCATCTCCCTCCTTTCCATTTCCCTCTTCTCCGAGCCTCTGTCTCCTCCCATCTCCCTCCTCCTCCTGCTCCTCCTCCCCCCATGTCTCCCTCTTCCATTTCCTTCTTCCTCTGCCCCTTACCCCACCTCCCGCTTTCCTCTCCGATCCTTCTCAGAACTGCCCTCCTCAGGGTCCCAAAAAATGACCCCCACCCAAAGCCAAGACCTGGAAATGCCCAGGTAGAGCATCCATGGCAGGTGGGCAGAGGAGGTGGGGTGCCGGCCACTTGGAGTTGGGCCTGGGCTTCTCTGTGGGGCTGGGGTAACTGTTCTTGTCTCTGTCTGTGGTCCGGTGAAGCAGTCTGGAGATCTACAGGTCAGCCCCACATCTGGGACCTTCCGCATGTCTCTTGGCTAACGCTCCCTTCCCCAGCCTCTGCACCCCCCCCCCAAGAAAACCCCTGCTTCTGTTCCCCACCCCTGTCCTCCGCTCCCAGCCCCTACCCGTCCTTCCCTTCGCTCCCCACCTTCCCCATCCATTCCCATCCCAACCCTCAGCTTTTGGCAATTTGACTTCTTTTCTGTTTTTCGTGGGGTTTTTTTTTTTTTTTTTT